AAAACAACCAATAATTATTTTTAAAAGTGGGGCATTTATGTTGAGCTGTGTTTCTAAAGAGTTTCATTTGGTTTGGTTTTGGTGCAGGGTAGTATCAGTAGACATATTTTCCCTTTCTTTCATCCACAAGGCCTAATACAAGTAATAAGTTAGTTTCCATTCCTTTAACACATTTTGAATTAGCAGAAACCAGTCTGGAAAATTCCATGTTTGCTACAGGTAACCTACAGAATAGTGCCTTTTTGAGTAATTAGGACATTAAGTGTGCTTTACAGTCAGGGCTTACAGGCTGAGGAGATGCCCTGAGGCCTCAAACATTTCAGAAGCCAACTTTGGGGTTCTAGGACCATGTCCTGTGTGCCTACAGTGTGGCTGTGTGTCCTGCCAAACCCACACATTTCCCCAGAGTTAAAAAGAAGATGGGGGGACAGCATCCTTAAGTTACTTTTATGAAATGTGTGCGTCAGGAGGAGTGAGGTTTCCCCAGGAAGCATGCAGTTGTCCCTGCTTGGCCAGAGCAGCGAGCTCACTGACAGGGCAGACTTCACGTGGTTGGCCACCCATGCCTTGGCGTTCTCTTCAAAATCAGGGCTCCCATGAGCAGGACAGACTAAAAGATCACGTGTTGTATGGGGAGACACTTGGGACATATTTCTTGTTCTTGGCCTGGGTTCAGTCTCTCACGGGTCACGGGTCAGCTAATAGCACTCGAGGGAAGTGCCGACTGTTGAACAGTTGCCACGTGAGGGATCTGCTTCTTTTTTTACAGAGAGGGCAGATTCCAAGTTTGTCAGGCCTAAGCTTGAGTGTATGGTTTTGACTGGGTTCTTGTTTGTAGCCCGTGTTCTGTAGATAGGCAGGCCCTGCCAGTGTAGACACTGAGTCTGAGAGCAGAACCAGGAAGCAGAGGAGCTGGTCCAGATAGGAAGCCTTTCCCAGGCTGAGGAAGTGCTCTCTGACAAACACCATAACTCTTAGCCCTCCTGAAACCAGGAGCCAGAGATGGGGAAAGCTTCAGGCAGCCCTCTTACTACCTCACAAAGTGCCATCCTTGTGACCTCAGGCTGTAACATCAGTGGCCCAGTCACCTCTCTAGTGACCAAAGCAAACATGCCTGAAAGGGTACTTTGGACAATAAGTAGCAGCTTGTAAATCTGTGCCTGTTTGACTTCTGTTGCCTCAGCATGGCCTCATCTTGCCCTCTCTGCAGGTGACTGATGATCGGTGTAAGAGGGAAGCAGGCATTCTAGCAATAAGTTTTAACAATTACTTTGAGCCCAAGGTGCAGATAATTGGCTTGAATTATGCTTTGAGGAAGTGCTTTATGATTAACTGACAACCAATACTGGCCTCGAGGTAAAAGCACATCTTACTGCAGAGCAGTACAGTGAAGAGCCCAGTAGGATAAAGTGCCCGCTGTCTGTCCATGTGGCTGGGCACTCACCAGGTGACGTGACTTGTGTGATGCATCTTCAGCATCCCCCAGTCCAGAACATTCCTTACAGCACATGGCAATAGGCTAAAAATGCTACATAAAAAATGTTATAAAAAATGTTTTCTCACGGTAAACGTATAAAAACATTAGGAAGGGTATAGCAGCTGTTCAGTAGCCTGTTGGACAACGTGGAGATACTATGAGTACTCCATGCCAGCTTTATGTCAGTTGCTGAAACAAGCCAAGCTCACACCTGCCCTTGGCTATTGCCCTTGCCGTTGCCATGCCTGGACCACTGTCCCTCCGAGGTCATGGGCAGTGGTTTTCCCTGACCACCTGATACTCGAACAAAACCATTCAGTGTCAGCCTTGCAGGCCGAATCACATTCTGCCCTTTTCCTGCTGTCTGTCCTGACGTCCCTTGGTGGCACTGTCTGAATCGTAGGTCTCTGTGCCTGTCCTCCCCTCTGGAGTATAGGAGCAACACAAGCAGAGACTGTGCCTGTGGTATTTACCACAGTCTCCCCAGCATCTGGCCAGCCTGGAGAATCAGGAAATTCTGTTCGAATAAAATAGTTTCTTCAAAGTCAACTTTGTGTCCCTGTGTCGGCAAAGTTTAGACTCAACGTTTCATCTAATTTATGATTAGTTTGATAATAGGTAGACAATTTATTCATCAGCTTTAGAAAATCTTAGAGTGTATTTGTTATTCTCTAACCTTGAAGGCTGAGATGAAAAAGGTGTCAGATGTTTCAAACCTTCCAAAGGAATTACCTTTTACAGATGTTTTCCCATGGGGAAGGGGTGTGGATGAGGGGAGCACACTGATGTCAGTGATAGATTATGAGTATGTTTTGGCTCAAAGTATATCATGAATCTAAAGGTTAATTTGACTGGTTGAAACGACTCAGCCAAATGAAACCAAGAAGTGGAAAGAAGCAGCTGGATACAATGTTGGCAGAAGTATGAATTGTACAGCCTCCTTGGAGGGCAGTTGGACAATATCTCTCAAAAGTGTGACTGCTCAAACCTTTCAAGCCAGCAATGCTACTTCTAAGAATTTTTTCTACGTACAAGGATTTTCATTGCAGCACTATTTGTAATAGCAAAAAGTTGGAATCTACCACCAACATAGGGCAGTGGTTAAGTAAATTATGGTGAATCCATATACAATGGAAGACTAAAAGAACAGAGCCACTCTGTAGGTACTGCCATGGAATGATCCCCAGGATGCATGGTTAGGTGGGTGGAGAAAAGAGGTTCATAGTATGCCAGTGTTTTTAAAAAAAGGAAGGAGAGGGAGAAAAATGTGTGTTTGTGGGTATATATGTGTATGTGTACCTACACACACACAAGTATATATTGAACACATCTGTGCATATGCCTAGGACATCTCTGGGAGGATACACAGGAAACCTGGCGGCCTTGGTTATGTCTGGGAAGAGGGGTGGGGATTATTTTTCACTGTATACCTTTTATACCTTTTGAATTTTGTACCATGTACATGTATTATCGATTCAAAAAATAAAAATTTTAATTTTAATTTGGTTTCCTTTTTTAAAAAAAAAGATTTTTGTTTAGTAAATCTGCTTTCCTTAGGAATTTAAAGCCCTTGAGCCGAAAATAGTTAAATTCTCCTTGAGTCTCGGGGAAAATAGGGAAGTGAAAAGAGGGCTGGCCTCTTCATCTCCCTCAGCTTTGGGGAGATGAAGCAGTGAAGATGGTTCTGCTCCAGTTGTGTGTGTTGGGATGATGGGGAGGGAGAGGGAGAGAGGGCTGGAAGGGGACTGTGAAGTGGCCACTTCCTGGGAACAGACCAGGGCTGCTGCAGGGTTGCCTCGGTTGCATGAGGATCATGGTAAGCCCCTGTTCTGGCTGTTGGGGTCCAAAAGATGGAGATGGTACCTCCAAGCCATGGTCCAGGGGGAAGCTGTTCACATTCTCCGGAAGCTGTAACTATCCTGTGCTCCCTGCCCCACCCCTTTCCTTAGCAGCATTCTGATTTTGTCCAGCTTGGGCGGCAATGTGTCTAGCTCCAGGAGAGGAATCATGACGGCTGTTCTAAAACAGTCACAGGAAATCATATTTCTATTTGCCAAGAATTGGTTTACCCACGGGTATCTAACCCCCTTATGGCCAGTACCTGGTACAATAGCTGCACATGGTGGGTGGTCAATAAGTAGTCCTCTTAAAAATAGCCCTGAGCTTGAGCTATAGCCCTTAGAACACAATGATATATAACTGATAAGGCCATTTAATTGAGAATTATGTTCCTACTGGCACCACTTCCTCCAGGTTGTCAGTCAGCTTACAGAATGTCTCCATACCTCAGACATCAGGTGAGCCAATGGTGGAGTGGACTGTTCTGTGTAAATTCAAAAGCCTAATCAGCAGGCAGCCCGCCCATCTTCAAAGTTAGATAGGCTGTGGCCGAGATGACTTAGTCCCGGCGTTCCCTTTGTCCAGGCCCTTGGATTCCTACATACGTACACACATAATATCAGGAAGGCCAAGATTCACCATGGCAGTTTGGGGAGGAGTTTTGTTGGTGGCATTTTCGAGTTCCACGACAGGCATTTGCCCCACCTGAATGACACGTGTGTGGGGTGGGGGAGTGTAAATGATAGATTGATGGATAATATACATGTATATACACACGCATGAATGATACTGAGCCTAGAAATAAATGCTTCGAAAGTATTTTTATCACACATAAGTCATGATGGTGAAGTAATGGGGAAATGCCCACAGCTGCTCTCCCTCGTGGTACAGAAGCAGAGGAAAGACCTCACCAGGGATTCTCAATGCCAGCTGCACACTGGAATCACTCGCAGAGCCTTAAAAAGCACTGCCGCCTGCGTCTCACCCCCAGAAATGCCAATTTAATTGGTCTAAAGAGCAACCTAAGCATCCAGCAGTTTTTCACAGACAAAAAAAAAAGGTCTCTAGAGAACTTAGTATATAAATTACCAAACCTCTTCTGTGAAAGTCTGACACAGTAGATAGGGGTTTCACTGAACACTTTTTTGAAAACAAAACTTCAGATGTTCCTCATCTTGCAAAACCGGATATACTGCCTTGGAAGTCGGGAAAGATAAGTTGAATCCGGTGGATAAAGGGTTGGGAAGGTCTGTTTCACAAAGGAGACACGCTCCTGAGTGGACCACAAAGCAGGCTGAGACCCTCTCTGAGGAGTATGGTATTAGATGAAGGAAAGGCAAATCAGCTTCCACTCTGTGTCAATTCTAACCAATTAGCAGTAACTCCCTGAAGTGCTATCTGGAAAGGATTCCGAAGCAGAGTTCCTGCTTGATGGGGAAATGTGCCATGATCAATTAGCAATGTCTGCCACACACACAGGTTGAGGGCATAATTGCACGCGTGTCACACATTTGCTGTCTTCCTTGAGAGCCTTTGACGCTTCTGCTCCTGCAGTCCAGGCCCAGTGCTATGGCTCTCAAGGACATTTATGCTCAGCCATGGAGGGTGACTCCAGGAGGACTGGCGATGGGAGGGATACAGGTCCCTTGCCACAACTCTCTGTGCATGTCTCTCCAAGCCCTGTTCATCTCTGCTTGGTGAAGAGGCTTTTGAAGGCATTGTTGTAGTTTTTGTTAAAAGCTGTGTAAATCAGGGGATTGAAGAAAGAGTTGGAGTACCCAAGCCACAGGAATACGCTTTTCCAGATGGGGGGCAGGTTGCATGCACAGAGGGGGCTGATGAGCTCTGCCAGGAAGAAGGGGATCCAGCACAGCACAAACACACCAATGAGGATGCCCACCATCAGGGCCGCCCGCTTCTCCTTCTGCTCCCGCCACGAGTCCCTTCTCTCCTGGAAAGCCAGCGTTGGGCGACGTGCCGTGAACACCATCTCAGCCTCCTGAGGTGCCTCCTTCACCTGGAAAGAAGAAACATGGAATTCAAAAATAAAACAACACTGGATAAGTAAAGTGCTATGAGGCTACTCCGGCCTTGGCCACCACCTCCTTGGCAGCCTCACTCAAGATGCATTTATACCATAATTCATCAAAAAATATTAGGCGAAAAGGTTCCTGAAACTAGGTTAGAATAAGATCTGAAGGTTCTTCAGGGAGTGAGAGTAGCAGTCTCCATATGTCCAATAATGATATAAAGAAGCCAATTACGAGTGGGGGCACCTTGGCATCACACCCAGGCTTGAGTCCCAGCTCCACAGACTATTCCTCCATCTATGAAGCTAAGTGATCAGAGTCCCCTCCACCTGTCATAAGGTGTCGTGAAGATGAATTGGGAATGTGTGTTGTGTGCCCAGCAAAACCCCAGGCCCATCTACTCATTCATGGCATGGGCTTGGGGCTGGGACTAGGACCCTGAATAGAAAGGACCCAGGCCTACCCCTCACAAAGTTCACAGCTGGGAGGCAGCACATGAACAATAATGCAAGAAATTGTACAATTACTGTGTTAAATGGATTCAGTATAAATTATGGAATAATTCTGTATTGCCTAGCTTCAAAAAACAAACTATAAATGCTTTTGTGGTAATAATTAGCTACCACTGAAAGAGCCTCTGGCACACGCTCCACCCCCTCACTGCCATCTTGTGGTTAACTCTACCTCTCGGGTCTCAGCATAAGAGTGATCAACCCTCTGTGTGGCCTTCCTACCCTCTAAGTTCAATCACATCTCCCTGTTCGGTGCTATGTTCTCCTCTTGCAGGGATTTGTGTGCTTATGGGTGTGATATCGGGTCCAAGCTGAAGGAGGGTGGGGACTGGCTGTCTCTCCCTTGTACACTATCTGTCTGGCAGCAGCACTTGCTAGGTGCCCAGGATATAGCTGCTGAATTAATGATTGATCATTACAACAGAAAATCTGTATTTCTCTTCCTTTTTGGAATGCTGCCAGGCAGGGCCATAAATGCCACTGAACACACACAGACAAGAGGCTCCCAGGCAAGGGTTGTGTCTAGTTAGACATGACTGGAAGCAGCTATCGGGACAGCCACACAACTGTGGGGCACTTTACAGTGTCCATGCACATTCACTCATCTTTTGTCACATGGGCCACCGGAGCCAAAGCTGAGCAGGTGGCCTGACTTAGGCATTCCCAGGACTCTTCAGTCTGCCTTCAAATCTGTTGTGTTCTGCTACTTCCCCCATCACCCCCACCTCTATTTATTACTAACTAAATGGACCTGAAAACATCATGAATATGTGGACAAAGCAGAGTTCTTTGTGAGTGGACACCCAGCATCCTGCACCTGCCATTTGGAGAGGAAAAATAAAAAGGCAAGTGATTTCAGCAATAGAACAAACAGCATGTCCCTCTCCTCTTGCCCCTCTGCGCCCTCCTAAAGGCCTGGCTTGGCAAACATGCACCCTCAGGGGGCATCCAGATCCGTTCCCAGGTTTCCCAGTCCTCCCACAGACAGGTGGGTATTGCATGTCACCTTTCTCCTTTTCCCAATAATACCAACTAGTTCTCTCAGAGCAGACCACCATCAAGTCACCAAAGGAAATCTGAACGATCGAACCTGGCATCCTGAAATCACCTCATGAATATTTAACAGTATGTTGTCAGGAGGGAAAAATATTATCAGAGCATGAGAGGAAGTGGAAGGTACTTGGTTTTTTTCCTACTAAGCTCATCGATGGGCACTTTTCCAGTCATTTCTCTGCTGACCTAAATGGCCTCCCAGGCACGTGAGTACCTCTACTGGGTAATGCAAATCCCAAATCCTTGTTATGCTACTGAAGTGAAGAAATGGGGTAAATTCAGTTGAAAGAATCCTAGGGGAAGAGAAATGGAAAAGGCAAGTTCACTGATTAAAGAGGTTTTAAACTCCTCAGGCTCCACCAGTACAGCATTTAGCAGAGTCCACCTGTGCTCCACCAAGGTATCTGTTTGCTAGAAGCCTGTGTCCACAGCTTTTCACCTGAGCCTGCTACACCTTGTGCAGAGTGATACTGGAAAGACAGTGTTTCCAGAAACAGACTCAAAGATAATTATTCAATCAGGGATGATTCTGGCTTGCTAGGAGACGGACTCATTTGGCTTTTTTCGTTTGAAAGGCAACATCTAATAGAAAACTAAAAGACGTGAAGAAGAACAATGCCCAAGAAGCTACTGTAAAACAAACACTATGCTGGTCATGAATGACTCATTCATTCCCATACCAAACCTTTAAGGTAATATTATTATTATTACCTCTATTTTACTGTTGAGAAAACACTCCAAGAAATGGGTTTGCTTATTGTTAGAGCTGGAAATCAAACTTGGCTAATATGAAGCCAAGACCACACTCTCATGCCCTACGTGTTATTCTGCACCTTAAGTAAAAGCGATCAATCTGAATGGGCTCCCACAGAACCTGTTTTAAAGATCATATTAATGCTTGGGATGCTTTCAGAACCGACATCTGTGGCTTCCTGGGCAATCTCCAGGCCCCCTAACAACCAGCTCTGGGGCCATCCCTGAGTTCCTCCATCTTTCTTCTTTGACATATGTCTAGTACGTGGCTAGGTGATTCCACACTCCATCTTAGTTATGACAGCAACCAGGTAAGGAAGGAATGAGGGAAGCATGGCTCAGATCAAGTTAGTGATTAGACAGGATTTCAATCTAAGCCCTCATTCCTACATTTCTAACCATGAAGAACCTTAGCTATATCATAAGCTTACTGTGAGAGTCACAGTGAGACGTAATACATAATAGGGCCTCATTAATGTCAGGTTTGTGTCCCCCTGTCCCTTCCCTCTCTTCTGAGAAAAACTCCAGCTGCCACAGAAGGAACCTATAAACATTTATAATCCTCTAAAGTCAGATAAACATCCTAATAAGAAATAGAAAAGGAAAGCAGAAAGAATAACGGTTCCTAATCACTCGTGGAACCTACCAGTTTGCACTGTGACCACACAGGTCAGGCATCCAGTATGGCGAGACTCTTACAAGGCTGGTGTCAGGGCAACCGCACTAATCCTAGTGGCTAATTAAACCCTACAACATCCAAGGGAATAGAGCGGATATTGAGAGACTTCTAATTTTGCTTGAAGGCAATCTGGATTATAACTGTAATTCCCTGTTTCTAACCAGACCTTGGCAGGTCAGGACTTGGAATACCTGGGGCTCCATTCTCTCTGCCCAAGGTTTACTGAGATCACTAAGATCCAAGTCTCATTTCTCCAGAGCACTTTAAAGAGATAACTAACCAAAATAGCCCCTCAAAGTAAACAGAAGCTGTCTAGCTTGTCTGACAAACTAGAACAGAAAATTTTCTCAGCTGCTTCTCTTGTGCAAAATAAACCAAGAAAATAAGAAATTTTCTTGTCAAAAATAAAAGCAGAACACTGCTAGGCTTGAAGAAAATTAATTTTCCCTGCGGTGTAATTATATATACAACAGATTATAATTTTGCTAAGCTCTTGGGTACGATCATGCATAAGGTATAATTGCTATCATTCTTGTATTTGGAAAACATGGATTTTTTCTTGGGAGTTTAGCCACCCTGGAATGGCTAAGGACCTACTGCAGTTAATGCTGAGGAGGGGAAATGTAATCAAGTGTGTTGATTAAAGTTAGGCTGCATTCGTGTTTGTAGTTCCAATATCATCAGATCTACAGTAATTTCCCCTTTTACAACTGGATGCCAATGGAAGGTCTTCCGTTGAGGCGAGAGTTTTGCCCTCAGGTCCCTGGATTCCCAGGCCAGACATTCTTGATACAGGAGGAGGGTGGAATGGAGGGAGGGGAGGTTTTGCCTTTTGCACATGCGCTGTCCAGCCTCAGTGTTCCGATGGGCCTCCGTGAGGACCACTGCCCTTCCCCAGAGAGCCCCAATTACTACTACACTGGATGTGATGGTCCCATCCCTCAGGAGAGCCAGTGGGGAAGAAAGGCTGAACATCGCTCTCTAGCAAGGGCTTCAAGGAGAGCCCCATGCAAACTGGGCAGGCAAGCTCCTACATACTTTTCTGGGCAGCAATTCCAAAGCTTTCTTCAACATTCAAGGAATTCTTTGACCTGCCAGAAAGTCAAGAACCATGGAGTTTGGGTCTCATTCTTCCACTGACAAGCTCAGTCTTGTCCAAGAACTACACACATTTAAGAAGTAGCTCGTCTCAAGGTCATCAGTGAAAACACACAATCCCTACACATTTGTTCACATCTCCCCCCTCCACTCTTCCCCAACAAACTAATCGGAAAGAAAAGAGGTAAAGAGGTAGGATGAACATAACGATGTAAAAGGAACAAGCAAGAAGTTCATAGAGAGGGAAGGCCAGGGATGTTTCTGAAAGTGCAATGCAAGCGCTCCTTGGTGCGCCCAAGAACTTCTGCATACTCTCAAGTAGGTGCCAATCTTAAAAGAATCAAACCATGAGCCGGATGTTTTGTTACCACTGATACAATTTGTTTCATTAAATTTAATTTTCTAGAGTTAAATAACTGCAGTCTGGCTGGCGTGGGAATGTGCTTGACCCCGCAGTTCTTTTAACAGAATCAGAATGAGAACAGTGACTTTCTTCTGCCCTCTTCCCATGTCTGAGCTCTGACTGAACCCAGGTCTCAAATGCAGTTCCATCCACAAGCCCACCAGCTGACAAACAGACAAGTGGCAAAAGCATAAAGGGCTCTGTACATATTTCAGGTTGCTCAGGGCTTATGTACTGCACATTTACAACACTTGCTAATGCTAATATAGAAGGTTGGCCTAGAAAGTCAAATATTTTGTAATATAACATTATCTGAAACTCCGATCCATGTTGTTACCAACCCTCTAGCTCAACACTATCCATCTATTTTGCCCTTTACAGCTTACAAAGTGCTTTCCCATTCACTATTCAGTCTTTCGACACCACTGTACTCTGGACAGACTTCCAGCAGAGCACCTATGAGACTTTATTGCATTTATTATTCTATAATTGTGATCTACTAAAATTAATCCCTGGAGAGCAGAAACTTTGCTTGCTCATTCTTTGAAAACCTGAGGCAACCACATTGCCTGCTACATGGATCAGTAAAAGTCAATCAAGTAATTTTGCACACCATCTAAATATCTTATTGTGATGTTAAAATCTGTCCATTAGTTCACTGACACTTGTCCCAAAGCTGGAGTGTGGGCTGGAGGTAGTGACACACTTCTAATAAATAAACTATAAGGGAAGTGATCTTATGTAGCCTCTGGGACGAGGTCATAAGGGGCACTGCACGTTCTCCTCACTTCAGTCTTGGACTAGGGGAAGCCAGCTGCTGCCATGTGACAATACTCAAGCAGTCCTATGGAGGCCTCCTGCCAACAGCCATATGAGAATGAGCCATCTTGGAAGCAGAGTCTCCAGCCCCAGTCAAGCCTTGGAATGTCTGCTGCCCCAATGTCTTGGAACATCTTGGCTGCAGCCACTGGAGGCCTTGGGCTAGAACCCCCAGCTACGTACACCATTCCCAATGTCCGGCCCACAGAACTGAGAGTCAATACAGGCTTGTTGCTTTAAGCCAACTAAACTTTGGCTAATTTATTACACACACAATAAATAACTAATCCACTTAGATAGTAACAGCAGTAAGAGAAATACAATAATATAATTTATAACTTGTAAGAGGAATTTAAAAAATAATGAAAATAATATAGCAGCTATCATTTATAGTTTACCATTTTAGATCCTCCATGTACACTGTTATCTCATTTATTCTTCACAGGAATATTATGAGGTAGATGGCCATATTTCCACTTTACCTACAGGGAAATGCAGATTTAGATTAAATCACTTGGCTAAAGTGCTAATAAGTGGCACAAAAGGAATCAAACTCCAGGTCTCCTTGGTTCCAAATCCCGTGCTCTTAACCACTGTGCACACTGTTTCCCAGCACGTGTATTGATTGAGTGACTGAGTGAAGGCTATTAGCCAGAGCTATGTGATAACATTCAGGAGCCCTAAGCATCTGTGCCTCCATGGGCCCCTCCCTCCATTAAAAAGTATTAAAATTTATATTTTATAACCATGTTATTATAAAGACTAATATAATCGAATCGGGATCCTTTATTATATACTCATTACTATTATATTCATTTGTCTTTTAGTTTTAAAAGAAATTAAAATTAGACCATTTCCATGGGCCCTGAGAAGCACTGCACCTGCTGTGCCTACATTGACTTGTGTACAGCAATCAAACAATTGAAAAGAAAAAAATTTTGATGTTCTATTTTAAAAGCCAAATAATGAATAGGTGATGCTCAGCCTGAGAGGTTGAAAGAAAGGATAGCAGGCTAGGAATTAACCCTGTTTCCTGAGAGAAGCAAGCAGTGACTCTGTACTCAGCTGTGTTCAGCTCTCCTGGAAAGGAGAGTTCACGTGCACAGTTTTGAGATCCTGATCCCCATGACCCACCATGACTGGGATACGACTGCCTTCCTCATTCCTATGAAGGTGAGATCCTGTGAGCAGTAGGACAGCACTCTGAAGTTCCTGGAGACAGCACAGAGTAATGAAAATGTAATGAAAAGAGCAATGACTTTAAATCTGGAACAAACTTCAGCTTCTCCACCCAACAACTGTATATGGTCTTGGATGAACTAACTTTATGGCACCTTAGTTTTATATCGTCTATAAAATGAGGACTGTGTGGCAAAGATAGTTAGTGCTCCCCTAGATTTCACAGCCAGTGGCTCACCAATGGACTGTGAACAGAAGTGACATGTGTCTACTTCAGGGCCAAGGCAGTTAAAAGCTGCTATAAGTATTCCCCCCTTATTGGAGAGGGATACATTCCAAGACCCCCACTGGATGCTTGAAACCTCAGAGAGTACCAAACACTGTGTATATTACATTTGTTCCTACAGAGCAGGTCCTTAAACAACTTTAGTTCGTTAAATGTCATTTCATTACAATGTTGATGAAATGCTATAGGCACTTAACTCCTGTTGATATAAATTAGCCTATGGTAAAATTGATTTCCTTATATGTCATTTTGCTTAAAGTCGAAGAATCTATTGATGACATTAAGTGAAGATTCACTTAAAGGAAGCACTTTACAGCTTCTCTTTGGCATTCTGAATTGCCAGCATCACTACTCTTACACTTGGAGGCCACTAGTCAGTAAAATAAGGGTGACTTAACACAAGGACTGTGACATCATGACAGTTGATCTGCTAACAGGGATGGTTACTACTGACTAATGGGTCGGGATGTCTACAGTGTGGATACGCTGGACAAAGGGATGATTCACGTTCCAGGTAGGGTGGAGCGGGGTGGCGTAAGATTTCATCACACCACTAAGAACGGCACATAATTTAAAACTTATGAATTGTTTATTTCTGGAACTTTCCATGTAATATTTTCAGACGGCAGTTGACCTTAGGTAACTGAAACCGTGAAAAGCAAAACTGCAGATAAGCAGGAACTACTGTATCTCTACAGCAACCTTAGGAGCCACATGTTCAAAACAGCATAGCTAAAAGACGACAAGTGTCCCAGATCCATGAGTTACTGCCTGGAGGAGAGCTATACAAGAGGGCCGCACTGAGTGAGGGTGAAATAAACTCAGCAACATTACCCAGGAGTTTGAGTGAGAGCTTGCTGGAGCTAAAGAAGCAGGATGCTCTCGAACACCAACTCATCTACAATCTCAGCAGCATAGAATTCAAGACCCTTAGCCATGACTTAGACCAATGTTGTGTGTCAGAAAAGAAAACTTGCAGCCCAAAGTAAGGAAGGGGCTTGCCCCAGGTCCACTGACAGTGACTGGCTAGATCACAGCACTGCCCCTGCCTCCCAGAGCTCTTTCTCCCTACCAGTGGGTGGATCGGCTAGGCTCCTGCTCAGTCACATCATCTTTGTATCACCTGCCTGAATGGGATCTGTCAAAAATGAACACTAAACTCAGGTTTGGCAAGCTGATGTCCATTTCATAATGATTCGCCTTGGTGCACATTGGAGTGATGTAGCTATTAAAAATCAATCCTACCTCAATAATCAGAAAAAAAAAAAACAACAACTATAAACACCTCAGGCATTTCCAAGTCATCTTTTGAAGAACAACATTAATTTTGAATAAAGTGCTCCCCTAACGATACTTTTCAGTCATGGTCTTGACATTTCTATTTTATGCTACAAAATTCCTCTACCATTTAATGAAAGGAAGAAAGCCTGCTTTTTAAAACATATATTTGAGTAGCGTGAGTTAACTTTCCAAAATTAAAACTAACAAGAAACTTACCCTCATTTTTTCTTCACTCATGCTCCACTTCCTTGGTCCATATATGGTTTTTGGAAAAAGACAATAAGTCCTGTTATTATTCATAACTGTGAGCCTGAGACCCCCTCCCCCAAAGGGAAATTTGGGGCTTCCGGGATGAAGAAGCTGACATCTATTAGGGTCTAGACAAAAGGTAGAAAGCCTAGATTTTAAATACAATCAAGGTAAGTTCTAAATAGTAAGTAAGTAAGTAAGTAAGTAAGTTCTGCCAAATGCAGGCTCTTCCAACTCATTCATTTCCAAGGTTATATTTAACCCATTATATAATGCCCCCCTGAGGCCCTGTTGATCTTCTTACTTTAGCCAGCTCTGTCCCTCTGTGCCAGGCACTGTGCTAGGTGCTTCACATTATTTAGCTCATGTAATCCTCACCAAAGGCCCTATGAAGCAAGAATTAACTTGTTAAAAATGAGGAAAAGAAGCCCACAGAAACGAAGCAACTGCCCCAGAGTCTCAAGCTGGGATCTGAACACTGGGATCTATCGTTCCAATGTCACTAGAGCGGTGCCCGGAAGTTAGGATGATGAAAGAAAAGTGATGTTTGAATTATATTTTATCCTCATTTCCCCACCTTGGCAGGGTGCTGGCCAGCAGAGTTGGGGATCATAGTCTCTGGAACGTGGAGGATGGACTAGGATGCAGTGGCACCAGAAAATAAGGAGTGAATGGTCACAGGAATTTGCTCATCTGAGGGACGAATTCCCAGCCCACCGCAGCGCCGCTTGCTTGGTCTAGCCGGGACTGGGATGTGGGCGGCTGCAGGACTCACACTGACACAATCGCTCCAGGGGAAAAGCAACAGAGTGCAGCAGATCAGACATGCCCTCACCACTACCTAGAAACGCCACCCCTGCAAGCCACCTTCAGCATCGTGGTTCGGGGTGTCAGTTTCATCCCTAGTGTGAAGGTGCTGAAATCCCTTTCCGGGCGCGCTCCAGGTACGCAGTGGCGGACCCTTCGCGCGCGCGCGCGGGCGGGTTGCAAGTGATAACCCCCTCCGCGTGCGCTCCAGGTGCGCTGGTGACCAACCTTTCCGCGCGCACCCCACGTTCGCCAGCTTCCGCCGCCAACTCTCCCTTTCACCAAGCCGCCTCCTCTCCCGCCTTCTCAAACCCCCACTCCGCAGCCCGCCCCTCACCTGTACGGTGGCGGGCAACGGCAGCACAGCCCCGCGGCAACGGCGGCCGAAGCGAAACTTAGCCGCTTTGTAGATCTTCCAGTAGACAAACAGCACCACGCTAAGCGGCAGGTAGAAGGCGCCACAGGTGGGGAAGACGGCGTAAGAAGGTTCCTGGCTCACCTGGCAGCGCTGGAGCCCAGCGTCGTAGGCCTCCCCCCAGCCAAAGAGCAGCGGCGCCAGGGCGATGAGCGCAGAGAGCGCCCAGGTGAGCGCGATCATGAGCGCAGAGGCGCGGCGGCGGGTGCGCAGCGTGTACTGAAGGTGGCGCGTGATAGTCCAGTAACGGTCCAGGGCGATGGCCGCCACGTTCCAGATGCTAGCGGTGCAGCACAGTACGTCGAAGCAGATCCACACGTGGCACAGGCTCCGGCCCAGGCGCCAACGTCGCCCGTCCGACAGCTCGCTCACTAGGCTCAGCGGCATCACCAGCGAGGCGACTAGTACGTCCGACACGGCCGTCGAGGCCACCAAGTTATGCGGCACACGATGGAAGGCGCGGACTCGCAGGATAGTGACCAGAACCAACAGGTTCCACAGGAAAGTGGCCGCAATCAGCAGCACCAACAGCGTCACCACTAGCACCATGAAGACGGAGAGAGGCGGCTCTCGGCCAGGCAGGGCAGCGCCGCCTGGGGTCGACTCGACGACTCTGCCAGGGCTTGGGCTGCTGCTGCAGGCCTCAGGTCCCAGGGTAAGGGTGACGCCAGCGGCGGCCACCGAGAGGTTAGCGGCTTCCATGGCGCACGGCGCGCGGGATCCTGGAACCCCCGCGGGCGACGCACGCACAGCCCTGGGGTTCAGCGTGGACTGGGCGCGCGGGGGCGTGGAGGGCTCACTGCTTGCCTGGAGAGGACAGCGAGCAGTTCAAGTCGCCCGACCCTGGTACCTCCTTGTGCCTCAGCCCCACTTTGGAGCCTCTTCCCGGAGCCCTCGTGGACCTCTTTTCCAATGGAGGAAAATAAGAGTGAGACCCTCAGGAGTCCCCCTCCTCTCAGCGCGTCAGTGCCTCCCACTTCTCGGCGTCCCCGAACCAGCTGCCCTACGGCTGGGAATTCCTAGGCTCAGCCTGGAGTCCGCGCGCGGTGGGAGGGGGCGATACGGGGGCGGGGGGGCTTGGAGTGATGCCCCCAGGCCCACCCCTGCGGCGGCTGGAGCTGGGCTGCAGCTGGAGCTGGGCTGCAGCGAGGTGGCGTGGGCGCGAGTGATTTGGAGACGCTGCCAACAGAAGCCCGGCCTTGACGCTGTCCTGCGGGTCTCCGCGCCTCCGTCATGCGGAGGACACCTTAACTGCAGGAGTTGAGAGAGGAGGTTCACATTCGCGTAGCAATTCCGTAGCCGCCACCTTCGCGAACCCTCAGACAGTCCTGGCTGATCATGGGAAACAGAGGGGCCAGGACAGAGGGGTTCTGCCTTCCTCGAATCTGGATTCTACTGTAAACCTGAAAAAGGAGATTCAGGTGTTGGGGTTTATAAAACAGGAAGCTCCTTAACGGCAGCTCCATCCGGCTGCTTCACTCTTAGCTCTAATGCCTAGCGAGGGCTACCTGGTGCCTTGCGACGTTCACTCTCTGGCACTATTCAGAAAGAAAGAGTCTCTGAGCAGTTCGGCAGAAGCCTGGGGTCGTTTACCACCTCTTCGCCCATCCCTCACCCTGCCCCATCATATCTCTGCCTGCACCTCCCACCCCACCCCCTTTTGCCGTGGCTAACATTCCTGACTATATTATATGTCTTCCAGATCATCATCTTCAGGTTAAAGCTGGTTATTTTTTGTTTACCCTTGGACAAGGGTAGAAACCAATTAGAAAGGTGCAATTCACCTGGCCCGCCATTTTCAGTCTCTTACACTTAAAAAATAGTTCAATCATAATTAAATCAGCCTAAAGCTGCATTACTTCTGTTTCTGGTAGTCGAATAGAAACATAAAGAACACAGAGCCCACACTGGTCCACCTCTTGTTAGGGTAAAAGACAGGCAGTCATCCACTGGCTTCTTACTATAGGAACAACAGCCTCAGGCTAAGCAGTGCGCTCAGGAGAGCTGAGTGGGCAATGTACTCTGAGTCCTCCCGAAGAGAGATACACTCTTTTTGGAAAGGCCTCCTAGGCTGCAGCAAGTGGAGGAAGTTTCTTCCCTTGAACAGTCCCATCCCTGGCACTTGAGGAAATCTTTGAGGATCTGGACCCTGCTAGATAGACATTCCAAGAACGTCCTTCTTTGCTCTCACTTCCTCCTCCATTAACACAGTAGGTACTTTCTGCTTTCTGCATTGTGTATGGCAATTCTTACACACACGGACTTGGTTGCACACTTATGGGGCATAAAAAGCAACGTGCAAAGAAATCAAAATAAAAATACATACAGGGATGTGGTTCCATAGTGTAGTGGTTAGCATGTCTGCTTTACATGCAGAAGGTCCTGGGTTTGTGCCCCAGTGGAGCCACCGTCCATGGTCTACGGCCATGCCACCCTGAACAAGCTAAGCAGGGTCTAGCTACCTACACAAGGTGAAGGGAAGGTTGGACCTGCTGGGAATTTGAATGGCTGAATCAAAAAGCCAGCAAGAGAGGAACATGAACATGCAGGGTATAAATGCCAGGGAGCAGCAGGGTTTGGACTTGATCATGAAGGAAGCTGGAATTTGGACAATTTTGAACAAATCGACATGATGAAGATAGTCCTTTAAAGGAAAATGGTGACTAGCCTTTGAAATAATTTCACAATAATTGTCTCCCCATTTGATTGGACAAATAGAACAAAAACGAATAGTATCAAAGATGTAAAAGCATTCACATCGCACTAGTCAGATGCATGACATGCTTTTATTCTCCTGTTTTTGCTCCTAACCATACATATTTTTCATGCCTAAAATCAATTTTTTATTTTGCATATTTCTCTTAACCCTTTTATGTTGCTATAAATTCTCTTCATAGGTACTTTTTTATGTTGTACTGTTTATTAGGTGAAAAACTTTGAACAACTTAGACTTTCCAACCCTCAGTTTCCTCACTTAAAAAATTAGGATAATTATACCTGTCGGAAGATTATTATAAAATTATAGTTAGGTAAAACCAATAGTGTGGAGTTAAGTGTTGAATAAATAATGACTACTGTTACTATTTTGAACTTCTAGTTTAAACCTTACATTCAGTTCTTGTGTGATTTTTGATATAGATCATGTTTTTACAGTTTCAATCTCAAATATTTGTAACAAGAAAACACTTTCATGCATTTTATTCACTTGATCTTACCTGTACCTTTTTAGACATCATTCCCATTTGCGGATCAGAAACAATGAGAGGTGTTGACTTGCCTCGTGACTGAAAGCTGGAACTCATCTCCATGGGGCCTCCTGTCTCACATTTATTCATGACACCAAGCTGCCCTGCACACACTGGGCTGGGGGTTCGGTCTGATTGTTTTTATTTAACTCTTTTATAGAAATTGTTTTATATAAAAAGTGTGTGTTTCTCACTTTACAAAACCATACTGTCCTAATTACAAGTCTTCTACCCTCATTCAAACTCTCCTCCCGCTTGCTGCACTCCAGCCACCCTGGTGTCCCCGTTTCTTCAACAGAACAAGCACATTCCATTCTTGGGACTTTAGTGTGTGCTGTTCCCTCCTCCCTCAGATAGGCATGGCTCATTCACTTACTTCATTCTGGTCTTTGCTCCAGTGTCACCGTCTCAGGCAGGCTTTCCCTGACCATTGGGTCTACACACTCAGTCACTCTTTCTAAAGGCATTCTCTATCCCACTGTTCTCTGTTTTCACAACACTTCACAGAAGTGACGTCATGTTATTTATTTAATTTCTGTCCGTTACCTGCCTTCTGCACACAAATGTAAGCTCTTCTCAGGCAGGGTTTCTTTTTTTCACTACTGTCTGCATTCATACATCTAGTTCTGTGCCAGGCACAAAGAAGGTGTCTCAATACATTTGAATGGATTTGTTGAATGACTAAATTAGGCATTGTTGGGAGAAGTGAGCCATGGGCCCTGAGCTCCAAGAATATAATGCCCTGACTGCTAATCACCCAGGCAATTTCTCAAAGTTGTGTTTGTAGTGAGTGACCTGAAAGGATGAGGTAACCTCTTCCCTAGGCAAAGAGCAAACTTGCCTGCACTTACTATAGAATTGGTGAATCTCCCAAGCTCAGTGTTCCCTTCCTGTAACACAGCACACTGCCTGTGCAGGTATCCATCGCCAGCCTTCGCTGTCACCCCCATAGGATTGAGACGAACATTGAGCTCTGGCTACAGCTTTTGCCCAGAGGAATAAAGTCCTTCACTCTCGTTCAAGAGTCTCATGTCCTGCGACAGCATCTGTGAAACAGTAACAGGGTAGCTTGTTAGCTTACAAGTAGGGTAAAATCCCAGGCCCTGCACAGCACCTGACAGACATTTGGTTTGCTGATTTTTAACATTAAAATTAGTAGAATTCTTTTTCCCTTTGGGGATGATTCCTTGATACATATTCTCCCAAATTTAATAGCTGAGTTAAAATGTAGAAACAGTGTGATTGTTTCTTTTACATATTTCTAAATTGCACCTCAGAGAAATTTAATGGAGTCACCATTCTCTTGCCCTGGCTTTGGAGAAACAAGACTGACAGCCTTGCCAAAATCAATTTTTTGTGATTAGAAAAAAATGTTTAATTGATATATAATGATGTATTTTTATTTATTTATTTATTTATTTATTTATTTATTTATTTATTTATGATTTTTATGGTGACATTGGTTAACGAAATCCAATGTTTCAGCTGTACACTTTAACAGTTAATTGTTTTACTTTGCATTTTTCAATAGCTAAAGCCTTTATTTTGCCACGAAATGACTTATTATCTATATATCCTTGTGTAGAAGCTTTTCATCCCCTTTTAACTACTTCATACAAGAATCTAGGTACTGATGTTATAAATATTGACCAATTTTAATATATTTGCATCAATATGTTTGTCCACATAATTTTTCTCTGACATTCTTCTCTTTGCATTTTATTCTGTTACATTTTGTTGAATAAATTTTTCTTTGATACAGTAGAACAGTCTCCATCAATGTCCTTAATTTACTCAGTAATTATAAATTGCTTTCCCACCCTTAATTTCTGTTATTAAAGTTTATGAATAGATTTAAAATTTTGGAATTCTTCTGGAGTCACTCTGTATGATGTAACGGGAGGTGGTGACTGGCCTTCTCATCTCCATGCTGTGTGAGATCCTGTCCAGTGAGGCCTGGCCCTGATTGTCAAGGGCAGGACATGATGGTACAACAGCAGGCAAGATGTTGTCCTGAGGACCTTGCCTCCGCCAGAGAACAAAATCTGTCTGATAACCAGAATGCAGCACACGTGCCAAGAGCTGATTAGAAGTATAAACAAAGTTTTCTGGTCTTTCTGGGGGAGAGAAATCACCTCCAGTGAGGAGGAACAGAGAAGGCCTCTTGAGGGAGGTAGTTTTTGAAACAGACATTAAAAGGTGGGGAACATTTTCACCAGCAGAGGTGGGGCAAGAGGCGGCAGGGCATACTCGGCAGGAGGAGGAGAGTGAGCAAAGGCTTGGAGGCAAAAGAAGAAGAACAGCAGCAAAACAAAGACACCAGCAGAGAACGGTCAGGAAGTGCCCAACGTTGACTGGTAGTTCGTTCACTTCTGGTTTGTCCCCTTTTTGCTTTTTAAAGAAAACATAGGTAGAACGTTTTATCATCTTTAGTCAGCTGATTCTTCTATTTCTCTT